CAAAATTATGCAAGCCCCACCAGGCCTTCCACGCACTCATCTTGGTTGCTATAGTGAATAAAAAATGAAGAGGACTTGAGCCCAGAAGAGAAATGCTTTTCTGTTGCTATCTACTTGCAGTTTTCCTCAAGTACACTCTACTAACAAAGCTATCTTCCCACCAGCTAAAAAAGGACAACTATCATAGGGTCCAGACCTAGTATCACAAAGCAAAGCAAAACTGAAGGCTGGATTGGAAGCTAAAAAGTAATAAACTGATAGCTGGCCCTCTGTCTTTCTATCAAATGGCAGACAGGACTTTTTCCTATTCCTATTTTTATCACTGGCCCCTAATACAATGCCTAGCATAAAACAGTAATTCAGTAAATTTATAAAGGCAGTAAAATGGAAAATTCAGATCCAGGCAAATTCTGATTTGAGCCAGCCCAGATACAAGGCAAGTGCAAAGTCATATCAACAAGAAACATGCAAGAAACGGATTTTTCCAAGGTAAAGTATCCACAGGACCTAGAAACATCTTAGACTCTAGCTTATTATAACAACTTTCAATAATGTGCTTTAGAGGGATTTATCTTCCTACATAGGCCATCTTTTAAAACAATTATAAACACATTCATAACAACTTTGAAACAAGTGAAGTAAAGCAGGCCAACCAGGAAGAAGGTTGAGCCAACATCTCCAACTAATGTGTTGCAACAAATAATACAGAAACCCCATGTCCTTCCTAACCTGTTTTTCTATTGTTCACAAAATACTGATTGTTCGATTAAGGTATTAAATACTTCAGTATCTTTAGAGTTAAAAACTATTATTTTTCCTTTCTTAAAATCATATCCTGATGGCAGAAAACCTTGATGATAAAATAAGATGCCTCTTTGTGGGCTGGCAAACAAGAAACACAGGTTTAAAATTTGCCTTGTTACAAAGAGCCTCACCTTGGTAAACAGAACCAGTATTGTTAGATTACATTCTTCAATGTTTTCTAAGGCTCAAGATTTGATCCAAATGTGGCCTGTCCTGCCAGCTTTGCAAACAGAGCTACATATAGAAAGGAAAGGTTTTCTTTTAATCGGGATAAAGTGCCTTCAAGAGAAACACAGATATAGAGGGAGACAACGTTCACAACTAATATAAAGCCCTACTTACAAAAAAACAATGCCACACAAATGACACCCTATTGTCGTTTTAGCCATTCTTATAAAGGACTAGTCCTAGAATAGTCGTGGTTTGAGCAAGTGAACATGAGGAATCAAATATTGCTAATGGTGCTTTATTGGCAGGAAATTCTGTTTTCCTTAGTTTGGAATATCCAAAGAAGAAAACAAATTTCAAATATAATGCTGTAACAAAATCTAACAACAGTTGAGAGTCTGCAATTACTGTTAAATTTATAGTTTTTACAAATCAACGTTAATAGTCTTAAAAACAATATACTCTTCCAGCATATTTTGAAAGCAGTACTCATTAATCTTTCCAGAGCTGCATAATTTAATTCCACCTGAGTCCTTCTGTAAAGCCATTTAACACAGACTAGAACTAGATTTAAGAGTCTCATCTAAAGTTTCATTTATACTTGAAGATAGAGTCCATGTCTCCAGTGAACCGCATGGTATCCAATACATGAGATGATTGATACTTGCTGAACACACAATCACAGGCAACCTGAGCCACAAGCCATGGACAACAATGCCATTCACTTTACCTAATATTCAAGCAGTCAAATTACAAATAGGAAATTCATATATTTAATTTATTCTATTCACTGCCACTAATTATAATGCATCCTTTGTCAGCTGATTCCAAAGAGAATAAAACAGGTCTGAGATATTATTTTTGCTCCTAGTAATAATCTAGGCATGACTTAAAGAGGGGTGGGACCAGCATAGTAACAGTAGGAATGGCAAAGAAAACAACGAACAATTTTTTTTGAGGTGTTTTCCATCTGTCTGGAATGTTCTTTTACTATTGGCTATGAATAAATACTCTAGTCTTTATTTGAAATCTAGACTTGAAATTAGGCCTTCGAAGCACCTTCCCAAGAAGGTCCACCCAATTATGATCCTACTTAACAATTCTAAAGAAATTTCAACAGACAGTATTAAAGGCAGGAAATTAAGACAGTAAAAGTGAGGTAAATAAATAAAAACAAAGTCAAAGAGAAAGTAATAGAATTAGAAAACAAGAAGGGAAAATATTTAAAAAATGGTAGTCTAAGAAGAAAACTTTTAAAAAGAAATCAAAAAGGACAGAAATAATACTTAAAACTATAATCGAAGAAAATTTTCTAGAAGTAAGAGAAAGGGGCAATGGGAACCTGAGAGAACTTACCTTAAACAATCAAATCCAAGATATACCCTAAACTTTTTTTTTTGGTACCGGGGATCGAACTCAGGACCTTGCACTTGTTAGGCAAGCAGCCGCACCACTGAGCTAAATCCCTGGCTACCCTAAACTCTTAAGTCTTCAAAAACAAAGAAAGAAGCTCAATGTTTCTAGCCAAAAAAAGATAATGAATAAAGCCAAATAAATTTAATTGGCACTAGAGTTGTTGTTGTTGTTGTTGTTTAATGCAAGGCAACATGGAGAAACATTTTTAAGAAATTCAGTGAAAGAAAGTATGAACAATGAATCTTTATTTCTAACCCACCTGTCTTTCAAATATCAAGAAATTGTTTTAAATGCTGGGCATGGTGAATCAGGAGGCTCACCAGTTCAAACCCGGCCTGGGCAACTTAGCAATAGCCTGTCGCTAAATAAATAAAAAATCAAGCAAATAAATAGAGTCTGAAGATGTAGGTCAGTGTGAAAGCCCTGAGTTCAATGCCTAGAACCCTGAGGGGAAAAAATTGTTTTAGAATTGTAACATCATTTTTACAGACTTTTTGCCAATAAATCTTAAAAACAAAATTGTATGGATAATTTCTTACAAAAACAGATTACCAAAATTGCCTCCATTGGAGATAGAAAGTTTAAACAGACCAATTTCCACAGAAGACATACAGAAATTTATTTAGGAACCATCTCACAAGAAAAGCAAAAGGCCGAAATAAGTTTGCAAGTAGAATTGTAAGTTTTCAAAACCAGATAGTTTCAATGACTTATAATTATTCCAGAGGGCACCAAATGAAGGGAAGTGTCCTAATTCTCTTTATTGAGTGCAATCCCAAACTATATAAAGACACTTCAGAAATGACCAATGTTGATCTATGTCTTTCCTTAAGCCAACACTGCCTTGATCACTGCAGCTTTAGAGGAGGTCTGAAAATTAGGTACTAAATGTCTTCCAACGCTAGTTTTTTTTCTTTTCCTTTTTACTTTTCTAGGTCCTTTGTACTCCTACATAACTTTTAAATTTCCAATTCTTCATTTACAGCAAGTATACACAGACCTGAATTTTTATATATACCTTGTGTTTTCTAATCCTGCTAAATTCAAATACAAGTTCTAGAGGCTCCTAGAGATTTATTACTATTTTCTCTGTAGATGATCATTTCATCTACATATAAAGATCTTACTTCTATCTTGCCAATCGTATGCTAATTGCTTCTTTTTACTGCCAGACTATTTTGGTTTGGGCCTGTTTCAAAGTTTAATGGACAGATGAAGAGTACGTATATCTGCCCTTGTTCCCCACCTTAGGGAGAAAGCACTGTATCTTTTCCATTCATATAAGGCGTTTTTGCTGGAAGTATGGAGTACATGGCTTATCTGTTGAAAAGGTTCTGTTCTACTGCTAGTCTCCTGATAGCTTTTACCATGAACAGCTGTAGAACTTAGTCCAATACTTCTTCCCCAACTAGTGACAGGATCATATGGCTTTTTTCTTTCCTCTGTTAAAATGTTACTTATAGGGGTGGATCTTCCAATGCTGAACCAACACTGCCATCCCTATAATAAAACCACTTTCTACATACTGCCAGATCTGACTTCTAATATTTGTTTTGCTAAACAAATTTTTATCTATGTTGGTACTTTTTTCTTCTATTATCTTTATCCAGTTTTATTAGCACAATGCTGATTTCCTAAAGAGGGGAGAAGTATTCCTTTTTTTTCTCCTTTAAATGTTTGATATAATTCATCAGTTAAAATGTATATGAACCTCGCCCGGGGATTTAGCTCAGTGGTTCCAGCGTCTGCCTCGCAAGCGTAAGGTCCCGAGTTCAATCCCCGGCACACACACACACACACAAAAAAATGTATATGAGGAGCCTGTTGTCATATAGGTAGGTTTTCAAGCTAGGAATATACTTTCTTTAATAGGTGCTATTCAAATTTTATATTTCCTCCAGAGTCAGTTTCATTAATTTATCTTCCAAGGTACTTCTTAGAAGTTGTCAAATTTATTTCAAAACAAATTTTTGTAATATGCTTTCTGCATCCTTTTCAATTCTGTAAAATCTGTGGTAATGTAGTCTAAATCTTGATATGGTAATTTAAAAAATGTATAAATGATATTGTATAATAGGAAGAAAAGGTCTAAAGGAGTAGGGGAAGTGGGAGGGGTGGGGGAAAGGAAAGAAGGGAAAAGAAAAAATATGAGAAAAGGAAAAAAAATGGAAACAAAATCTTTGCAAATAGGGAAGGGTGGAAGGGGTGAAGGGAGGGCAGGGGAAAGGGAAAAAAAATAAGAACCAAGATACTCATGTACAGATACAAGATCCCAATGATAAATGTAACTGTATTTTATACCTAAAATGTACCAATAAACTTAATGGGGAAAAAAAATGACCAATGTCACACAAGGATATCAATGCTAATATCCTGAGTATTTCTGCAGAGAGAATTCAACGCAATAATAAAAAAACACACACAAGGAATTCACACCTGTAATCCTAGGTTGGTCCAATATTAGAAAACTTACTAATACTATACAACATATACAATATCTAAAAGGGAAAAATAATTTCATCATCTTCTGAAATGTGTTCATCAAAATTCTTCTGCAAGAGAGCGCCTATAGATAAGCTGCCATGCCAAGTGAGGAGGGAATTCTGCCTTAGGAACAATGGCAGGATCATGAGAGTTCCTCTGGCTCGATTCGGGATGCCGGTGGGGCCTTTGGGAAGAGAGAGCAGGCTGAAGAGGAGCCGTTCTTCCAACAGAAGACTAAAGAACAACTGGAAGCCTTGAAGAAACATCATGAAGATGAGATCTATCATCATAAAAAGGCGATTGAGTGTATGGAGAAAGAAATTGAACGGCATAAGCAGAAGATCAAACAACTAAAACATGATGATTAAAAGCATATATTCCCCATAGAATGTCATCTATCAATGCCCACTTCTATATAGGCATAATCTGGTATTATTAATATTTGGTCTGTGTGCTACCAAAATATAATAAATTGTCATCAGTAAAAAAAAAAAAAAATTATTCTGCAAGGGCTGGGGATTTATCTCAATGGTTCCACCACCTGCCTCGCAAGCACAAGGACCCGAATTCGATCCCCAGTAACAACCAAAAAAAAAATTCTCCTGCCACACCTAATAAAATGCTAAGAAAACAGGAATTTACGGATACTGTCTTAATGTGACAAAATATATATAGTCCAAAAGCCAGTTTCTTACTTAATGGGAGACATACTAATGTCACTATCTTCACTAAGTTACAAGGCAAGATTATCCACTATTTCCACTAGTTTAATTAAATATCTACAGTGTAAGTATTTGCCAATGCAATTAACAAGAGAAATAAATTTAAAGAATAAAAATTGGGAAAAGAAGAATCCAAAGTCCACTTGCTGACAAAATGATAGCATGGTTTTTAAATCCTAGAAAAAATGATAAATATTAACTCAAACTATAAAAAAAAAACTTCAGTAAGGCAAGGCAATATAAAATGAACATATAGAAACAACAGCATTTATATAAACAAACAATAACCAGTAACAGGGTCAAAATGATAGCAAAAACATCTACAGGTAGTAGAGACAATATTTATTTCAGCGGGGGGGTGGGGGGAGGGCATCAAAGCAGTAACCATAACAAGACACATCAAAACTCTGTACTGGAAAACATTAAGACGCTGCTGAAAGACACAGAAGTAAACTGGATGCTCCTGTTATTGTATCATCATAAAATCATCATAATCATCATAAAAATGACTGTACCTCTAAGTTAGCTTATTATGAATTAATTTCTGGTTTACCCCTAAAAATGCTAGCTAGACTTTCCATGGGCTAAGACAAGATAATACTAAAGGTCATCTGAAAAATATTGATATGAAAGAACAGTCAAAAAACCACTGAAAAAGAAAAACCAAGGTAGGATTAACCCCAACAGATGTTAAATCATAACATAACTAGAACTTACATAAAAAGTATGGATGGAACTGAAAGAAAGAAAGAAACCTGAGGCATGGAACACAGTGCTGAAAATAGACATGTAAATTTAGAAATTTGATGAATAAAAATGGCATCTCGAACACTGGCATAAAGATGAAATTTTTAATAAAGAGAACTAAAATAACCAAGAGATTAATAACATTAACAATAAAAAGTTATAACTAAACAAAAATAGTTATAACTATATACTGTAATAAAAGATAAATGAATGTGATCTCTCTCACTGTGGAAGTGAAAAGTTTATAGAAGCCTTAACACTTACTTTGCAACTTTTCAGTAAGGATATTAAGATACAAATTATAATTGTTTAAATATTCTACAAAACACAGTTCCTCCAAAACATGTCTATAAACAATATTAGTAATAGCCAATTTTTAAGGAAATAAACAGTTAGTTGAATAAAATTTGAGATATACAAAACACTATGAATCCAGGCTAGGGATTTAGCTCAGTGGTTCTGGCACCTGCCTCACAAGCACAAGGTCCCAAGTTTGATCCCTGGTACCAAAAAAAAACCCACTATGAATCCATAGAGAGGAGCATGAAATAGGATTCTATGAATCCATAAATAAAAGAATAAGGAAGCTTTTGACTTATGCTGAATGATTCCAGGATACTCAGCTGGAAAAACAAAGGGAGGCAAGGAAAGCAGAATGCAGGGAGGCAGAAGAAGGAAGAGGAAGGAGACAGAGGAAGGGATGGAGGATATACTTGCCTATAATACTATGGCAAGGGGCTTGGGGTGGCCAGTGTCAGAACTGCAAGGAAGTTTTCTACTATATACTCATTTCTTTTGAAATTTTAGCCACAAAAATATATTATCTATCCCAAAGAGAAATAAATGTGGTAAAATATTAGCATCTGAGGATTTGGGCACTGAACAGCCAAGAATTCAGTTTAATATTCTCACAACTTTTCTAATGATGTCTAATTTTTAAATTTATAAAAAAGAAAATGACACAGAAAAGAAATAGCTCCCCTACACATGGTATCTTGAAACTGAGGCAGCCTCCATATGAAAGTAGTAACTGCATACCCTCACAAAGACCAAGCTGTTAAAACGAACACTGTGCAGCAGGAAAAAAAATAGAAAATACCTAGTACCTAGGACCTTTGACATCTTTGAACCAGTAATTTAATCAAAGGTGACCTGTCTTTCCTTGAAACTTATTATGAGATAAATTTTGCTTATCTTGCAGAGAAAGGAGATACATACATACACACACATATATAGACACATATGTGTGTATATCTCCAAGCGTGAATATAGACTTGAATAAGGTGTAAGATATAGAAAAATGAAGTACACTCATACCCATTCAGATATCATTGTCCACAAGTGTGGTATAACTACACTTACACTGCCATTTTATAATTATCTGGCTGAAACTTTGCCCTTCTTAACCAACCTCTCATTCCCAAGAGCAGTGACTGTATCTTACTAATTGCTGAACTGCCAAAGCCTATAACATAAAATAAGCATTCAACAAATGTGTTAATTAATGACTGATTCTCTTTACCATATTATAATAAACATAGCTGCCAAGATGTGGTGCAAACATCACTTACTTTGGAAAATCCATAAGAATGTCATTCAGGACCAGTATATTTTGTTTTCAAGGACAGTGCAAAGTGAAATCAAATGAAAGGATATTGCTACCAAATGGGAGAGATTCTATACATATTTTAACACAGTGGCTAGAGAACATAAACATTTCTTTTAGATAAAAGTTCAAAATCTATTAAGGTAAATATCTGAAATGTCTCTTCTGACCAGCCCTAAAATGAAAAAATAAGCCAAGAAATATATTTTATAACTGGTAAAATAAGGCTAGAACTGTTTCATAGTAATTGACAGAGAAAACTAGTTAAATCTTTACATGGGAACAAACACAATCACTTCAAAAACAGTGTATTTCTGTGTACTTGAAAGGATTCGATAAGTAGTAGTATCATTACAGTCCTTAGTAAGTCAGAAAGAAGATGGTTTGAAATACTATGGTGGACTGGCCCTCAAGTTGCCTCTCACCTGGGCAACTTGATGTTAAGCAGATTCTAGTAAGATGTTTTAAGCAGATTCACAGTAAGATGTTTTACAGTGTGCCCAGAGCGGAGACTACCTAAGACAGTCTAAAATTTGTTACAACATTCTTTGTATCACAAACAATGACGAAACAAATGACATATTCCTACCCTTATGGGCAGGTGTTTTTTTTGCATCTGTAGGATGAAGTCATAAAACTCAGGATTGCTAAATCAAGAAGCATACATATTTTTAATTTTTAAACAACTTATCAACAAATTACTTTCCCTGAAGATTATAGAAATGCAAACTCCCACCAACAATATATCAGAACAAATATTTTCCCACACTCTCAGGAGTTTTAGTCTTATCTCTAATAAACAAACAAAAATCTAGTATGAAAAAAAGAAAGAAATCGCATTTTAATTTGTATTTCCCTGACTACTGGAAAAATGAAACCTTCTCATGCTTCACTCACACATCTTCTATAAACTTATCCACATCATTTGGGTGTTTTTCATTCAAGTTGTCAAATTTAAGAACTCTTTAACAGTATTTATAATGTCATATATGTATATATATGTGTGGACATGTACGTATACATATGTTCATAAATACATATGTGTACATGTGTATGTATATATTCCTATTCTTCACTGTTTGTTGTGGGGGTTCAGGCCAATCAACCTATCAATGCTTTTGGTTGTGAGGCTGATTGCACAATGCAACTGCCATTTACTGAGTGGGCAAAAATCAAGGTGCTTCACATCTTGCCTGCACAGGTCCCTCCTACGAAGAATTCCACACATCCTGTGTGGATCAGGAACAACCTACTGAATATTCATGTAAGTACAACAAATGTGTACAACATCTCGTAAAAACCCAACTTTATTTTACATACAATGTATTTCTCATGCAGTTTCAGAATGTAACTTCTGTGAAAATGGAGAGAAGAGCATACTTTGTATTAAGAACTAGCAAGAGTCGTCATCTATTTGGGGAAAACACTTCACATTTTGGAGCAGTGCTGTTCTTCCAACTGAAGCTGTTAAGGCTACACAAATAGCAGATCACATTCATTACTCTGAGAGTCACTGTAACTTTGGATAGGCCATTTCATAATTTATGACTGAATATTTCTACCTTGAAATATGTATTACATTATCAATACTTTGTATATTCTCCCTTGTATTAATTACATGCAGAGCATTGTGTTAACTCATGTATAACTATGTGCATAGGTAGATTGTAACACTGGTGGATTTCACTTCAGAATAGTAAAGGGTACATTACAAAACACTGGTTATATAAAAAGGATCATTCAGGAGCACTGCCCAGGCCTACAGGAGAGAGGAGGATTCCTGCCTCCCAATCCCACTCTCCATCAACACTAGGACCACAGACAAGGACTTTCCTCAACCCCACTGGCACAGGGCATCTTCTGCCCAGGACCCAGCATCTCGGCCACATCCGTGTTCCCTTCTACACCCAACACTATGGCTCTAACAGGTACACAAGGTCATGCAGGCAGTGGGACAATATACTCAGGCCAGGCAGCACTGGCCCATGGTCACCCTGATTATTTTTGGTTTTGGTGTTTGGTTTCTGAAACAGGGTCTCTTAATGTGGTTCAGGCTGGCCTTGACTCACTATGTAGCCTAGGCTGACCTCAAACTTGTAGCAGTCCTCCTGCCTCAGTATCCAAAATGCTAGGACAACTGGTGTGCACCACTATGTCCAGCTCATCCTGATTTGTAAAAGTCCCAAATATACTGCGTAGCACTCATGTCACCTATTAAAATTACCAAGTCCGAATATTTCAAATTTCTCTGTGTACAATTCTCTGAAATGACAAAAATAAAAAAAAGCTTGTAGCCTAGAAAATCCAAAGAAATTTTTTTAAGTTTCTTAGAGTTTGTTCAATGGAATATCTAC